TAGTAGTAGTAGTAGTAGTAGTAGTAGCATTGTTGTTACATTGAGTCTTGAGAATGCACAATAATAATATATTTCTGTCACACTTTCTTCACGGTAAACTGAACTTTTATTTTGACGGGCTGCCGTGAAGAACTTGCAGCTGCTGTGTATGTGATATGACGGTAGTTTTCTCAAATTAAACAGTAAAATGCCAATGAAGTGACTCTCAGAGCAGCTGGAGATGATATTTGTGTGTTCATATCGTCATATAGAGCGATGGCAGAAGCTGAAAACACCTCGAGTGTCGTCCGTGCTTTAGTATGTGTGTAGTAAACAAAACAGTGCGTCTGCTGCGCCATCCGCCATTCATTCGTTGCGGAGATCATGGCGCTTTTACGCGTGATGTCAAATGTTTCCGCAGATTTGGGGTATTACAATAGCATTTCACCTGAGCATTGCAAATCACACATTGCTTTCTTGGTTCTTGTCAGCAGTATCTCCGCCATGATAAGCACTGAATGAATGACAGGCTTTCTGATGTAACATTGCGCAAGGTAAATAAGAGGGTGACATCTAGTGGAGAAGACTAATGATAAGATTCACATTAATCAGATCTTGTTTTAAATGTTTGCTGAAATAAATACCGGAAAAGATCGATTCACGGCTTTTGAGAATCGATATCGAATCGACGTCATTTAAAAAACGATTAATCGAAAAATCAAAAAAAATTTTGCCCAGCCCTATTCACTATTTACATCAATAATCTGACATTAATTTGATCTCGAACTGATTTCCCCCACCTGCTTGACGTCATTAACAGCAATTCAAACCAATGTGATTCGAACGACAGATGTGCGACAAAGTTCCTACGTTTGCAGAAAACAGTCATGACTAGCTAGCTAGTTAGTTTCTCCAACAATGCATCATACTATGGTAGTTAGTAGCGAGATACGCCATTGTTTGATAAATGCACCCCAGTGTGACGCTACATCCACACCAGTAGGTGGCAATATAGAGTCCAATACCACTGAAGTATTGCGTAGCATTTAAATTTACAAAAAAAATTGTTGTGCGTTAAATTCACATTTTAAAAGAGGATTGTAACCCGATACTGAGTGAATGTAAACTTGCCCCGGGACGGCTGTAGAGAGCGTGGGGGGTCTGAGGTCCCGCAGGGGAAGGGCCGAGATTACAGGTTTAGGGAGTTTCCCTCAGGAATGCCAGTGTCAGTGGAACATAAAACAGATATAAACAAGACTTATAATCACCTTAATCCCTTACTGTTGGATCAAACCTGCCTCATTCACACTTCACTAAATTACAGAAGGTATTATTTATCGTGTAGTGGCAGTGAACTGAGTGTGTTGTTCATGGGCCGCTGCTGTTATGTAATAAAGCATTGGTGCAGAAGGAGATTGTGTTGCGCTTGATAGCGTACGAAGTGAGAGGATGCATTAATAATTGACTGCTGGTTTTGTTGTGTGTACATGTGTTGTGTTGTGTTGTGTTGTGTGGACTAACATTCTGACAGAAATCAGGCCATTACTCACTCACTCATTATGTAGTCATCGTGATAGTGCTGTATAGAGATATAGATAACAGATGTTTACATCTACATTAATAGCTGTTGTTTCTATGGTTGAATTTCACAACCATGTCTCTATATAGGTTACATTCAAAAGACACACAATAGGACATTGTTTTTCATGAATAATGCCTATTTATTTACTTACTTGCTTACATTGTGAAGTAATTTTTCTAAAAATAAATCACATTTCCCAAATTTCCATTATCACAATGGATAAAAATGATATATTATGTGACGTTATGTGGAATTTTTTATGTATTGTGCTTTTATCATGCTTTTTATATATCAGTATTTGAACTGCCTAATTTTATGAATAACCAAATATGTAAATACATACATACAAAAAATTATATATTTGTTAATTTCTTTATTTCTTTGTTTATTTGATTTTTGATGATGTAAACAAACATTTATTTGTTTGTTTGTCTTGTACAGTATATATAATGCATACATATTATACTCAATAGGACAATTTTTTTGTATTTTTCAGTTTTGTTCTGCATTTCTTTATTTTTATTAATTTATAAATGTATTCATTAATGTCTAATTTTTTTAATTTTCTGTAATCATTTATTAATTGATTTGTTTATTCAGTCATTCATTTTATTAATTCATTTAGAAATCTAATTGTGATATTTAGAATCTAACAAGATCATTATGAATAATGAGAATCATAAAGAATCAGAAATGAACAAATTAAGGTAATGAGAAATTATCAGCAAAATGAGCTTAATTGTCAGACAAAAATGGTTTTCTTTATGCAAAATTTTATTTATTTATTTAGTTTGTTTTTGTGTTGAAATATGACATAGACATGTTTTCAATAGATCCACCCACATAACCATCATGTTTTGTGATGGAGCCGTTTGTCCATTTGAGTTTTTGCGGTGTTGTTTGGTTTCTATGGGAAGCTGATGGTCCGGTTTCAGTGTTTCAACAACAGCACATCATTACCAACAGAAAGAAAGCATCACAGACGAGATCTAACTGATTCTCCTAGACAGCAGTGAGATTAAATCCAGATCAAATGCAGATTTAAGTCTACACTCAAAAAAATGAAATCTGGGTGTTGTTTGATTAAAATAAATAGAGTATGTTAAAACAAATAAAACGAATCAGTTGAAGGTATGTACACAGTTATTTCAAATCAGTCTAAACTAAATCCAGGAGAAATTAAAAGAGCTCTATTAATTTCTGCTGAAACTACAAATATGAATTGAGTTGAGTCAACAACTTATTTTGCGCATGCGCCGAAGACAGGAATTCCACGTGACCTCGTCAATTGCCGCCGACGCCATTAACGTGGTGGAGTTCTGTGAAATCGGTAAGTCTAAAAATCTTTTATCATCCTTGTCTATATAGTGCTAATAATAGTGATTAAAACGGTTTAAAACAATCCTAGTATTGCATGTAGCGGATATTTTATGTTTTTTTTTGTATATTTAGAACAGACTGTCAGTCACATGTATACGCGATGAAAAATAGCAAGTTTATATAAATGCCTGCATTCATGTACGTATTTTGACATTAACGCAGTAGTTGCTTAGCTCTGACACTTGTTGTAAGGGGTATTCATAATTATATTAAGTTATACCAACGATTTATTTTTTTGAGTCTATTTTTATTGCTTCTGAAGTATGTTAGTGGAAACATCCGAAACAAAACTGAGACCTTCATGAAATTTCCCGATCTGCGAGCAATAAAACTTTCCTCTGAGCCCCCGAAAGAGACGCAGATCTGTTTGAAGAGCTCAACATGTGACTTCCGTCGCAAGCGTCTGGTTACACTCACAGAGAGCTGACTGAAAACACTGCTCCTAATGCTCACTTGCACCAAACACACATTTAGAGCAAGATCAGTTCTTCAGAATCAGAACAATATTATCTGAACAAGATTTTGGAATTGTAAATGTATTTGTACATTTGTATTTAAAAAGTCAGTTTATGCATTTATTGCAATTTTGTTGTGTCTTGAAGGGATTTTGTATGTAGTACTAGTTCAATTCCATGAAAACATGTCCAAGTCAACCCAAAAATCAAAAGTTGAGAAAACTTAAAAGTTTAAGGCAGCCAGCTTCAGGAGATTTTTGAGTTTTCTCAACTTGTTGTATTCAGTGTATTCATAGATAGATAGATAGATAGATAGATAGATAGATAGATAGATAGATAGATAGATAGATAGATAGATAGATGTAGATAGGTAGATAGATAGATAGCTTTAAAACTGTCATATTTTGTATAATGTACAAATTAATGGAGAATAATTATTTATTTATTTGTATAGTGACATTATTTTATGCATGATGTCGGGATATTAAATATCTCCTAATTTTTCAAAACCTCTTTTAGAAAGGAAACAATAGGCTACAGTATACAAATGAAGTAACTATAAAAGGAATGTTTAGAACAAAGACATTTAAATTTGAGAAGAATTTGATGAGTTTACAACAAGATGTTTGATGTTTTAAACTGGTGTCTTGAAAAATCTGAGTGACGATGTTGAGACTCGTATGATTGTATTCATTTATTTATTTCGTAGGTTGTGTTTATTTTCAAAATATTGTGTGCAAATAATGTACTTTCAATAGTAAATATTTTTTTTTCCCTGTTAGAATTAGGTTTGTTTTAGCAAAGTTAGCAATTCTAATTAGCTTTGTATAAAAACAATCTAAAACTGTGTGTTGATAGTGAGGGACAGAAACTGCTGAAAACAAAACAAGACACTCCTCCTACCTGGAGATGTGGGCGGAGCTTTGCCATGTCAGCAGAGTTCAGAGAGAGAGCGCGAGCTGTGGCTGTGAGAGGGAGGTGCTTCATGAGGAGCTGTTCAAGAGCAGACCACGCTCACCGCGCCACAGGATCTGCGCATCTGTCTCACTCACTGCAGAGCTGCGCCGTCTCTGAGGAACTGCAGCACGTTCTGCTTTTGTGTGGAAGTAGCAGTCGAAGCCTGGAGGAGCTGTGTGCTTTATGAGGTAAAAGAACTGTTCTCCGCATGTTCGCTCGCAGCTGGAGCCTGGAAATCAACCGGTTAACGTCTGTTAGTGCGCGGAGATCTCAGGGTCAAAGTCATTTTACATCTGCAGGAAAACTTTACTGCTCAGAGGTTGCTCTTTAATCGCTCAGGAAACTTAATAGAGGCTTTAGTTATAGTTTGTTTAAACACCAACTCTGTTTCTCCTAAAATGTCTAGAAATAGACTCAAATTGGAGATATGAAATGAATGAGGATAGACTAGCTCAGATGAATCGGTCTTGGATGAATTTGATAAGAAATACGAGTTTATAATGAGATGTTTGATTGCAGATTTTGGTATATTGGTCCGAGCACAATTTGAGATTTCTTCTGAAAGTCTAGATGAGAAACATTTGGGATTGAGTAATTTTCTCAGAAGAATTATCTGAGCAGTAGGCTACACTTTAGCAAAAGTCTCACTTTCATCTCCATTTAATGTCATTTTGGTCTAGAGAAAACCGTTGAGATATTAAACATCTTATTTAGTTATTTTTCCCCAACTTCTTTAGGAGCAATAACTAAATTGACTACAGTAAGCATATATAAAGGAGCTATATAAGTGATTTTTATGGCATAAAACAAGAATCTGATGAGAAATCATGAGACTTTGGTAGAAAATCTGAGCGCAATCTGAGACTGATGAGACTTTTTCTCAGAAGAAAAATCTGAGAAGTAAACCTCACTTTGCTCTCCATTTAATCTCATTTCAATCTAGAGAAACCGCTGAGAAATTAAACCTCTCATTTGTGATATTTCATAACTTCCTTTGGAGAAATAAAAAAGCATGTAAAGGAGCCATAAAAGGAATGAGAACATAGAAAATTCGATTTGAGAAGAATTTGATGAGAAATATTAGAGTTTACAATGATACTTTTAATTGCAACCTTTGGTGTCTTGTAAAATCTGTGCACATTTTGAGACATTGTTGAGATTTCTTCTGAAACTCCAGAGGGGAAATGCACGAGTTCTTCCAAAGACTTAAGTCTCCATTTAATCTCCATTTTTTCGCTCTAGTTTTGATTATTTGAAGGTGTAGAGTTTTTCTTTTAAATATTTATTTAAGAAATTCTTAAGTCACTTTTGACTCCAAAAAAAAAAAGACTCATGAAAAATGAGACCTGGTCCGTATGTGGTGGATAATGGATGATAGCATGGAGCATGGATTTGATTATGCACCCATGTGTTTAGATCGACATTAAGCATGCTTCTTTAACAGGCTGCTTCCCACCAAGTCTTTTCTGAACTCGCTTTTTGCTTTTAATCTAACCAGATACCCCTGTCAGTCTGTTTAACCACATTCGGCCTGCTAATGACCAGACTGCATGCTTGAAAGTCCAACACGGCCACCAAATCTGGTTAGTATATTTTTAGGAGTGGTGTAATATCATTATCTTATTCCAAACATAAAACCTTCCCAAGCATTTATGACTCCAGGCGCATGTTGCAGCACTTGTGGAATATGGCTCACGTGATGTTTATTCATGACTAATCAAAGTAAATCTGGTGACGTGGAGTCCAAGGCAGCAGGGCATCTCGTAAAGCGCTTGGCTCAGCTCTGGTTAAAGTGACAGTTCAGCACTTGGCTTGTTAAGCTGATCAGGGCAATGCTGGTGTGATGTACTGTCAGACAGCTCCGTTTAGCCTTCGTCCTGTTACTGATGAGAAACAGCAGGTCTGAGAACACAGCTGTCCATTAGAGATGCAGGCGCACTGCGGTGCGGTGCTAAAACATTGATCGAGAGAGACACTGGACACGGGGAGAGTCAGTATAGTGACTGTGCTGAGAACTATTGCATTGAATAAGAGAGTGAGTGTCAGGGATGCTTAGTTTAGACTATAAGGGTACATTTACATGACAACGGAGTACCAAAAAACGGTAACTTTACTTTGCGTTAATCAAAAAAAAGTTTCGCGTTCACACAGATCTGCGAAAACGGCTAAAAGCACTGTATTTTGCATGTCAGGCCAGTAGATGTCACTTTATAAAGAAGCACTACACACATTTGCGTTTTTGTACTTTGCACAGAGACAATAATGGTATCATTTTGAGGCCCCCCAAAACATTGTTGTCATGTAAATGAATGGCCAAAACGCATACGGTTTTCAATTTTAGTTGAAAACTGTCTCATGGTATGTTTTCAGTTTTGTTCGATTCACTCATATCTTATAGTAGTAGGCAAGACATCATGGTCTTTTACTGGAAAGTGATGCACAGAGTGAGGTGCATTGACTCTTGTGTTGACCACTAAAGCTTCACTGAGTTCTCTAGATCAATGTGGAGAAACACACGCAAGCTTGCATTAGGGTTTGTGAATGCTCCTGTGCTTTAAGATGGACAGTTTCACCTTATATGCAAATCCTTCCTTTGTCAGCGTTCAATAAAAACCTCTCTGTTTCTCTCTGTCGTTATCTCGGGATCTTTCTAGATCTCTGCGTCTATGTAGCCTCTCATGACGTGTGAGCTTCTGCCTTTCACACCCCATTGACACTCAGGAAGGTGTAAAAATATGCGTTCAAAAGTGTGAAGATTCCCGGATAACACGATAAAAAGCCTTTGATTTGCTGTCAAGGTCAGAGTTTCTAGACAAATCAAACCCAACAAACAAAATGTTTGTTTCCAAACATTACATTTTAGAAATGGCAGCTGAAACTTCAATATGGAAAGCTTTCTTAATGCAAGTAGAATGTTGGCGTACTGTGGCTGACAATGTTCTCTTTCATTTTTATGAACTATGAACTTTATGTCCAATAGAGAGTTGTGGAATATGTACAAAACAATGGGCCATACATCTATGTTGAATTAAGGACAGTTATTGTAGGCAAAAGTTAGCTCACAAGTTTTTAGTAGCTTTTTTTTTTTTTTCTGAAACGTTTTTACTGTATTTAGGTTGTTGTTTCTGAAATGATTACTTAACACCCAAAACACTGATTTATAGTTCTCCCAAAGTATTAAATGAATGAAATACTACTTCAAATTTTTTTTAATACTCAAAAATTATCATTTTGAATAGGCCTACTCTTAAAAATAAAGGTTCCTAAAGGTTTTTTTAGAACCATTTGTGGTTCCCCGAAGTGAACAGTTCTTAAAATAAATTTTTTTTAGAACATTTTAGCCATCTAACAAACCTTTTTCCACAGTAAAGAACCTCTTGTGGAATGAAAAGGTTTCATGGATGTTTACGGTTCTTCATGGAACCATCAAAGCCACTAAAGAACTTTTTATTTTTAAGAGTGTACTAATTTATCTAGGCCATACCATCCATATTTTTTGAACGTTAAGGACAATTACAGAAGTGAGTTGTTGAATATGTCCTCTGGCAGGAATGAGGTCTCCAGAGATCTTTATCTACAAGAGCAGGTGCAGTTATTCTCCTGCTGCTTTAGTGGTTATTGAACGGCATACAGAAAAGATGAACCAACTGCATCCAAAATGCAAACCGGTTGTGGAAGAGTCTGTAGATGTCAACCTTCCCTTGGTTCCTCAGATTCAGTTGTCTGGTTCCTCGCTCCAGTCTGAAACATTTTTTAAATCTCACAAAGTGTCAATTTGTGAGACAAATGTTATTTTTAGCAACGCACAGTCTTAATGTTTTTGCAGGCGGCGATGCTTCTATTTTCTTCCTCATCTCAGCATCTGCTGTGAATTTTATTCTGCAGAATCACAGCTCAGAGAAAGGTTTAGTCGGTCTCATTTTCTCATGTCTCATCCTGACACCCTTTACAGCTTTTCTCACAAAGCTCAGTTGTTTGATAATCTTTGATAATCTAAAAGAGCTTAGATTTCAATCCTCTGAGTTGTAACTTTGTTTCATCCTCGGTTCCCATGTCTTGACTGAGAAATCAATCTCCTGTGGTACTCAGATTCACACGCATGCTAATTTAAACGCTTGTCTGGTCTGGGACACTGGCATAGACATTGTCTTTCTGCAAGATGCATCAAGGAGACTGGCAAGAGTGTTGACGCTTTCCATGTCCCAAGGCTGTCTGAGTAATTATTTAGCAAAGCTCACATAATGAGAGTGAGTTCGCTATGCTTCGGCGGCCTTCACCCATATAAATATCCTCACTTGGAAACCACAAGCTGTTCGCCACTGTTGCTTTGAGCCGTTGCCCCAAAGTTCCCATCTGTGCCACTACTTGACTGCATAAGTAGACCAGCCATTGACTGGCAGTTTAATGCGTTACCAAATACGCCATGTAGCGAATCAGCTCATGGGGAAATATTAATAATTAATCATAACTAGTTATAATTAATTATAAATATTTAGATCCGCTGTAGATATTTACTTGACCTCTCAGGGTCAACTGTCTGTCAATTCTAAGAACGTTCATTTCCTGGTTAAGGTAAATAACTTACTGTACAGTTCTACAGAGAGCCTGTAGCATAAATCGGCATGATTAAGGGACTCCAGTTATGAGCAAACAATGAACAACGTGAAGTGTGATACAAGTAAGGCTTTATTAACTACATAAACACTTAAACTAGTCTAACATACTACATAAACACTTAAACTGGTCCAACATACACATACACACACACACACACACACGCGCATACGGTTGGTATAGGAAAGGGTTAAAGCTTAACGCAGTAGAGAGAAGAGAAAATAAGAATATGAAGTTATGGAACCATTTGCATATTCAGCAGATCTACAGCCTGAAGGGAACATCAAATACTTAGTTCAAACACACCTTTGTAAAAAGGTGCAAATGATACCTAATGTATCAATTAATAAGACTCAGTTTGAATACCTGCACGTCTCGTCTGTCTGAAAGAAAGGCTTGATGCAATCTGAAGGCTCACGTGGATCTTTGCTGAAGTTGGTTGATGAAAAAGAACCAGAATACAACAGATAATATACAAGACAGCAATAATATACACCATGACCTGAAGGATATGTGTGTTCATTCAAAGAAAGGTTTTCCTATGAATTAGTTAGTAGAAAAGTCCACTTCTACT